TGAAACTTGTAAATGCCACAATCTTCTCCACACCAGTTAAGTGTCAGGTCACCTTACAAAACCCTCTAAGTTGACTTCAGAACCCTCAAATACTCCACCTATGCTGAAAACCAATGTTTTTAACAGCACAATGCTTGAAGCCAAACACTATTTTCACACAGCTCAGCCTCACGTAAGCACTTGTAGGACAGGTAGACATTCATAAGTACATATAATGCCTGAACATGGTATGATAGGGGTTTTTTTCCCAGGAAATTAACAATAAGATAATTTAGTGAACCAATTAGTTACAACTACTACTCAAAACTCTTCTCTTATTGCTCCCCACCAAAAAAAATTACTCTGTTATCAATATAACAAACACTGACAAGACTTGTTAAAATTACCAATGTAAGAAAGATGCCATTGTCGACACAAACTGCTTGAGTGTATTTGAGGTTTATACTAACAACACAGATAAAGACAAAGAAAGCTAATCTCATTCCATAGAATGTATACACAGAGTATCAAGATCCTTTGGAAGACATGACTCAGAGTTAAGAAATTACAAACTAGTCAAGAATTTTAAACTATTTGGTATATTATGAAAATATTGCCCCAGTTACCCACTCTACCCTTGTGCACCTCAGTGGTGCTGGCAGAAGTCTACAGTGCCTATGTAAGCACAAAGCCCAGACTTTGCTTAAATCCACTCTTACCCACAACTCTTCATTAAGCTGTTGGACTTTGCACCGAGGCAGGCTGAGTTACAGGGTTATGGGTACATGTTTTCTTCTTCTGACTTCACATGTAACTGAGGGAAGGACCTTATGCAAATCCCCGTGACCCCATTTGCAAAAACCTCCTCTTTTGGCCAAACTGCGTATGTTATGAAGCCTAAAGGAGCAAATAATGAAAAGCATAGCCTCTTTTCATATTTCTTACTCCAATTTGTAATTTAGCACCCTTTAAAAAATTTCAGAGCACTAAATCACATTTAATCTTTTGAGCTAGTAGGAAGTGTAACTACTGCTTTTAGTAATTCAAGAATAAACATGTTTACATTTGAACTGGAACAATAAATGTAAACGTATGAGCTACTGCCACAACATGAACTTTACCAAGACTAAAAGTCATATCTTAAATCCCCAAACAAAGTAAATTCCCAATTCTGTATTTTCACTGATTCTACTGCCTGACTGACCATTGTCATGACCAAGGTGTAAGAGACTTGATGAAGGGTATAACACTAAGCAATTGTACTGCAAAGCACCAAGATTACTATAAAGCACAAATGGAAAGTGCAGACCTGTACTTGCAACCATTCACCTTTAAACTGAAACATCCTCTAGCTGGAGAAAAAAATATCTACAATGCTTTCAGGCACTGCTAAAATCACTGTGGTTCGTAGCCCTTTACTCCTCTTAAAAAGTGTTTTATTCACAGCCTGTCAGTTGTTTTTCTAAATCTCAAGCTTCTAGTTCACTTGTTCACTTGTCACATCATCCCTGACCACATCACATCCTTCATTAACCAACTTCCTACTCTGATCACTGGTGGCTGAATGTCAAGCTGCCACTCTTATCACAGCACAAAACTTCACAAAAACTATAGAAAGCCAACAGCATGCAAACCAACAGTTGTCTAAAACAACACCTGCCCAAATAAAAAAAAAAGCTAAATTATTATGATCTGTTGCAGTGACACAATTTCCAAAGAATCTTGACATTTTCCACCCAATGTATTTAATAATACCTTTGTATTTGAAGCTCCTGAGTAGTTACTATATCAGTTAACACTTGCACAACTACACCAAGACATAGAACACTAAATTATGATACTGAAAGGTGCACAATGAATGGGTATGGTTTTTTTTCCAAGGACAAAACACCATCAGTGAAGAGTTTCACAGACAGGTACATGTAGGGTTAGGATTCAGTGTTTCTACTCTTAATGCCCCAGTCGCTGAATCTGACTTTCAGACATTCAGCCCTACCCCAGTCCTTTCTTTTCCTTCATGTTATGCCTATTTATAAAGAAAATGCATGAATCTTCTTTACAGCATTTCTTCCAAATAGTAAATATTTTTGAAAAATACTTGTACTAGTGTGTTTTTTTAAAAAATGACATTTCAGGAACAGTACAACATTAAATATCCACTTAGTATCATAAATGGAATTTGAAAACATAAAAAATAAGTGAGTGCTGTTGGTAATGGTCCCTGATGAGAAATACTCAAGTTCTGCAAACCTCAATAATACAAAGTCTGTTTTAGGAGCTAAATTAATTCTAATTTATCTTCAAGCCTGCAGAAACAGAAGAAAGCTGTGCAAAGGAAGTTAGAATTATAAATTAATTGTCTGTTGGTATCAACTCACGTAATATTTTTCCCCTAAGTACTCTACCCCATAAATATATTTCTTAATTGGTGTTCTACATATGGAAACTTACATGACTGGTCTTGTAGAGTCCCATTTTCAAACCATACATTGAACATTATAACCTTGAGGAAAAGTTTTAATTCTATCCCAGTATTCACCCAGACATCTCTCCTCAAAGTGCTGATATATGATGTAGAATGCTATGAAGAGATTTAGTGTTACAGTTGTACACGAATTATGTCATATTCAGTGTAACATTCTGCTTCTGAACATCCAGTTTGTCCTGTAAGACTCTCACCACAATATACCCCAAGTTCTACTCTCCTATACTACCTAACAAATACAGTGCTGTCCCAGTGCCCTGATCCAGCCCTGCATTTTAATACAAGGCCTTAAAAAAAAAAAAAAAGAAATACAAAAATAAAATGATTTGAAACAACTGCTAGAAAATGCACCTTCCAAAGCCATCTCTAACCTAAATTCAACCTCATTTTCTACCAAGAGCCTTGCAAACAGTTTAGATCTGCATGACATCACTTTCCTGTTTTCAGTACTTTGCAAAAAGTAACAGAACTACAAATGCCACAGATTCTGTGTCATCCTACATCCTACAGTCAAGCTCACTTGCAGACTTGACTTCATTCATTAAGAGTCATATGAAGAGTCTGGCTGTTAGGGAGACAACCAAATCACCTCCTTGAAACCGACACATGTACTAAGTTGTCTTGAAGACTAAAATGTCTCCGATTATTTTTAAATGGATGAGAGTCTCTAATTTCAAGCAGTTAAGACACAACAAAGATTACTGGGTATGCAGTAACACTCTTCACCATCACAAAATATATGGAGAACCTGAAAGATTATAATTTTAAAAAGCTGCACTACTGTGTCTTGTGTGCATATCCAGTCAGCACTAAGGATGGGTGTGTGCCAGGAAGTTTCACAGTTAGAACCCACTCCTCTTGCTGGCTATATCCACATGAGCACTCCATTTAGTTCCTTAGGACAAGCTACTTCAGTCAACGGCCATGAACCAAATTCCATTCACTTTGGTAACAGAATCTGACAAAAAATTAAGAGGCTAAGAACTGTTTGTACATAAAGCTTTGCAGGGGTGGGTAGGTGGGTGGAAGAAGGCAGGGAACAACTCGAAGCGGAGGAGGAAATACCAATGCAGTATGTGCTGGCTTTGACCTTTTGAACTATAATCTGAAAGTGAGAATCTTCAAGAGCCACTGGCTTCAACTCCTGCACAGTCCGTATCAAGGGAAGAGATAATTTCAAAATAAATGGATATTAAAAATAAATCATTATGGGGAGAGACAGTAAGACTAAGCAAGCACTACAAGAGCTGGCTAGAGTGTTTTATCGGTTTGTACTCGGGGCACAAAACTAATGCCCACGGAGGCTATAGCGAAACGCCCTTTCACGAGTCAGGAGAGGCACTACAGCTCCCTACAGCAGCCGAAAATCGGCCATTATACGGCAGTTCTTACGGCCCTGGTGCCGCACACACCAGGCTTTGTCACATCCAGCTCGCGGAGCCGCAGTGCCGGGGCTCGCTCGCCCCTGCCCGGCCGCAATTCCATCTTTGTTCCGCGCGGCCGGCGCAGCTGCGGGAACGGGGCTCGGCCTGGCCGGGACCGGCGGCACCGGGGAGCGGCGGGCGAGGCGGGGAGGGGAACGGGCACACGGCGGGAGAAAGGAAGGGCAAATGCAGCCCGATCCTCAGCGCCTCCCCTCCCCGCCGCTCTCCCAGCGCCCCCCGGCCCGCGGGACGGGCACGGCGCGGTGTCCGCGCCCCGCAGCCCGGGACAGGGCGATTCCCCCGCCGGGACCCGCGGCCTCCCCTCCCCCTCCGGCGGGGCTCGGCTGCGCGGCCCCAGCCGGTCCGGGCTCTGCGGTGGCCCTCACCCATAAGGATGCGCATCTGCTTCTTGCCGAAGAGGCGCGAGAAAAGCGAGGAGATGGTGAGGCCCATGGCGGCTCCGGCGGCGCTGGGCGGCGGCGGGGGAGCGCTGAGGGAAGGAGGGCAGGAGGGAGCGCGGCCCGGCCGGTGTGCGCGCACGGATCTCTCCGCGCGCGAGGCGAGCCCGGCAGCGGCGGCGGGTGCTCTGTGACCGGGGACCTCGCTCGGTCTCTGCCACGTCACGCTCGCCGCGGCCGCCCCGGTTCCAACGCGGACACGATCACGTCACGCTCGCCACATCCCCCGGCCGCGGCACCGCCCTCCGCCACACGGCCGCGGCGCGGCGGGGACTACGACTCCCGGCATGCGCTGCGCAGCTCTGCGCCCCGCGCTCATTTGCCATCGCCGCGGGGCACGACGGGGGATGTAGGCGGGCGCGGTGGCCAGCCCCGCGCAGCTTCCGGGTCGCGCGGGGCACGCCGGTTGCGGCGGGCCCCGCCCTGGCCGCGGGGACGGGCGGCAGCCCCGGTAACGCTGCGCTCGCAGCCGCAGGGCCGGGACGGCAACGGGATCCGCTGCCGGCAGGCAGGGAGAGACTGGTGGAACCAGACCTCGGAGAGGCCCCAAAAGCAGCCCAACAGCGACAAGGACATTTAATAAAGGAAATAAACAAACCTCTCCCCCCACACTCTAAAAACCAAACCGAAATAAATCAACAAACGGCAGCGCTGTGACATATTACTGTACTATTATTAATTGTGTATATATATATATATCCACTATACAGTAATTATTAGGCATCCCGGTCGCAGCAGGCCCCCGCCCTGACCCTCCCCAGAGGCCCCGAGCTGCGGCACCAAACCACGCTCGGTTCATCGGGCAGGGAGCACCAGACACGGGGACATAAGAGCAGAGTAAAACTGAACCAGGCTCGGTCAATGTTGTATTAAATAGAAAGTATTTACTTCTCCTGTACTAAAGAAAAACACTGTTAATGATCTTTATTACGATAGTACTGAACAAGATCCTAACAGCTGGCTACCAAGCCAGAAAAGTCAGGCTGTTCTTTTCACAGAATCATAAAATGGTTTGGGTTTGAAGGGTTGGATCATCTTATTCTACCCCCCTACCATAGACAAGGACCTTTCACTAGACTAGGTACTCAATGCCCTGTCCAACCCCACCTTGGACACTTTCAGGCATGGGGCATCCGCAACTAATCTTCGGTATCATGTTGAAAACCTTATTCTAATTCTAAATTATGTTATTCTGAACCCCAAACCTGGTGTAAATTAAGATGGAAAGTTGTGTTTTTATAAAAGAAATAAATGATACTTGAAATCTAGTTCATGCCTAAGATGTTTTTATGATCCTGATCAACCATCAGGAAACTGTAATCTAAGGAGTCCAGTTCTAGGTTTCCAGTACTCACCCATCCTCTGTTCACAGCATTCAGTATTTACACTTCTTTTTTTGGCTAGGAAAGTTCAGCTTTTCTGTGCTTGAGGGCTGTTACTCTCTGGAGCTCCAAGCTGGCCTATTCTGAGTGTATCTGGGTCGTTCCTAGATACCTTTCACTGTTTCAGTTATTTGAGTACAATCTAACAAACACTTGCTTTAGAATCTAGGCCCTGCCATTTGCTTTGCTGAGGAGCCTGCAGCTTTCTTACCATGATGAATAATCAAACTACAACACCACTCCACCACATTTCTGGTCAGCTCAGGGGTACAACATCAAGCAGCTGTCTTTGCAAGCTGAACAGCTTTGCTTACATAGGAGAGGGGAAAAACCAAGCAAACCAAACACACCCATCATCTAAGTCACATAACTTCCAAAGGGGAAAAAAAAATAAAAATCAAACTCTTTATTTTTTGTTTAAAAAAATACATATTTGCAGTCATGTGCTAGTTTACCATAGTTGTTACCAGTTTACATGGTTCCAAGAAATGCCACAGTGCTACAGATTAAATAGTGAAGATAATTTAGAGTATGAATGGCCACTTAATAATTTCTGGATTAGAAATGCTTTCCACAGGGTGTGCAAAAAAGAAACCATTTTGCAAGTTAGCAATTAATGCTGAAGTGGTATAGTTTATGTAACATAATAGATACATGAAACTTCTGGTCATGAGTAATTGTATACAAAACATAACAGTATTAAAATACATTTTTTCATAAAAATACTGTTGTGACACTTTATATCTAAATAAGACATTTTTAGAAAGATGGTATGAAATACTCGTTATACAAAAGCATGTTCTTATAGCAGGATTATGGCATAAGATTTAAAAATTTCTACCCAAGCACTTAAAAGCAGAGTAGTTCTTTTTTTTAATAACTGCGATCCACTTGACATATAAAAGTATATGCTGTGTGTGCACTATAGCATTATGTTTGCTCTACTTGAAAGTGGTCAAAGTACAACACTGCATGTGGAGCAGCTGAGTTGTTATGTATCACTGAAACTTGTTCAAGAAGACAAAACATCCCATTCTTGTTGCTTAATACGCAAGAGGAAGTTAGTCTTTATGCATGTCTGCTGTATGCACATACTGAGAGTAATTCCATGCTACAATCTTTTTTTGCCAGTCTGACCTGTCCAGAGGCTTTTTTCAGCTGAAGCCAAAATTTTCTCTCTCCAGCCTTATCACCTCAAAAACCTGACTGGTTAAGCTGAAAATAATAAAGTTAAAAATTATAACAGGAGCTGACTGATATGCTCTCCAACTGAAACAGACTGTGTATCAGCTAACACAACCAAAATTACCGATTTTAAAGTCCCTATTACAACACCGCAGTGTTTATTTCCTGTGATGAATACTGCATACTTACATTTACACGAGTGATCCAGTTGAAATCCTGGATGTCAGCAGATTAAAACCATAAATTAGTATATAATTACTTTAAGGCATGTAAGAGCACCCTGATAACTGACACTGAGTGGAAGAGACTTCCTTTCAGGAAATTTTTGTCAGCTGCCTTCTCATCTTTAAAAATGCTAAATCAGTATAATTTTGGAAAGATGGTAAAAAGGAGAAATGCAAAAAGTTAAGAATGGATCTGATAATTTCAGTTGTTCCTGAAACAGTTTTAAAAGCCATGATTTACCAGTAAAATACCTCAATTATAAGGCATTGTGGCCAAATCACCAATATGTCAGTTGGACTTAGCACTAGATAAAAACTGTAAGTAAAAAAGAAAGTGAAACAATCAGATACTACATCAACAGGACAGCAAAGGATCAATATTGCCTACCCCTGAGAAGGACTGGGTATAGCAGCACCAATTGGAAAACATTCTGCAATGCCAGCACTGCACTGTTGTCCTATACTGTGGCCCAGCTTCATATGCCCACAGATTATTCTTTAAGAGCACTTATTTCAAGTCGTATTAGACACAAGAATCCCTTTAGTTGCATTGGTATTGAGTGGAAAAACCAGAAAATTATACAGTGGGCTATACTATTAGTACAGTCCATTTGTAGTGTTAATGTACTGGTTTAGAGCTGTGTTCCAAACTTGGTTAGCCACTGTCTTCTGTGAGACTACTTGCCTTCTGGTTTTTGGCACCAAAAAAGCCCAGTAGAAATCATGTTGTGCCAGTTTTGAGCAAGATGTCCTGTAAGTCATCTGGCAGTGCCAGTATAATATCATTGATGTGTGTCTGCAGCTTTTTCAGTGTGTCAGTTTTCACAGGAAGATGTTCTCTGTCTGCCTGCAACTGCAAAGGTACCAGAACACAAGATTTGTACTAAAAATGTAAGGTTACCTTAAGAAATAGCAAAGTCATGTATTAGAAAATTTGGAAAATTAATTCCTCATTTGCCGAGTAGGAATTTGGACAACAGAAGGTTTCCTTAGCAACCACACAACAGTGAGAACAACACTGATTTGGACTTTCAGAAATAACAAAATTTGGTTTTCTTCTTCCCTGGGGATTCAGATCAGTCACAGAGTTCCAACTAATTTAAAAAAAAATCCAGCAATACAATGCTTCCAGGATGGCCAGATGATATTGGGAAGACAAATAACTTTTCAGGCATAGCTGAAATTGACTGGTTTTGTTTTTAAAGCCTGAATGAATGACTGAATCTTTAAACTACCTAGACAATGATGAATATTTTCATTTATGTACTTGCAAAACCAACTATATAATGCTTTTATGTAGCTAAGTCATGTTCAATTCAGTTACTTACCAGTTTATTTTTTAACTTTAAGACAAGATCCACCGTTTCTACCTCAGTATGCTTCTGACTCCAGAAAACCAAGTTCTAAAATGAAAAATTAGGCATTGAATTATTTATGGTTACATATGTAATTCTCAAAAGAGGTCTTAATCTATACATAATGTCCAGAATAGTTGTTTTCCTTATTCCTATGCTATTTGCTAATCTTAGTCATGCACTGTCTTTACTGTGAACTACAAAATCTGCTTTATTTGCATGTTTGCCCAGTACTTCACATAACAGCAAACTTGCACACAAACACAATACAAATAAATTAAAGGGGGAAAAAAATCCTGCCAAACAGGATCAGTTTGAGAAACAGCATCTACAATGCAAAATGGTAGTGAATGATTACCAAATCAGAACTGTCAGTACAATGAAGTATTAAAGTAGTTCAGGGCAGTGCTTACTGTTTCTAGGGCATTAAAGGAGATCACAGTTGATAACTAGTAAGATAAAATCAAGTGAATTTTCTTATGGAAGTTCTGCTCCCCTACCCCCTTAAGACACACCTGTGAAAGACATTTGTTTGTGTACAAAGAAATATTTATTTTGTGGGTCAAAGGAAAAAACAATAAAGGAGCAAAATCAGTAATAAATGTGTAACACATTTTCTATTCTTTGATTAAGTTAATATCAAATACAGTTGGATAGACGCTAAGTTGTATAACTGACCTGCAAATTATCTGGTCTGCTCTATTTGAATAATCTGTTTGGATTTGCTATATTTTTAGTGTTTGGGAATTGACAAGGCAAGGGATAAAAATAAATAGCTTTTGAGAAATAAACAGAGCAAATTTGTTGTTTGCTTTAAAGCTGTAGTGTTGCCTTTGTTTTTGTTCTTCATATTCCCTCTCTGGCTGTACAATGTCTTCTCCTCTTGCAAACTCCTTTCTCTATCAGTTGTTCCAACTCAAATTACATTGATACCCACTTCAGCTTCTTAATTAAGGAATGGATCTTACAACATCAGAATAGTTATGTTGCATTTTGTTATATATAAACAGATTTCATTTCTAAGCTTTCTATTACTGTGCATGAGTTGTAGGCTTATTTGCTAAATTTATCTAATTAGCTGTCAATTAGAATGTCAAATTCACTGAATTTTTACCTTTAAAGCTACAAACTATATTGTAACTGAAAATATGTTGTCAAGGATGCCAAGGATGGAAACTGAATAGAATAATATTGTCAAGTAAGAGGGGAAAAAGCTTTATTTGCCAGGGGTGTGTGTGTGTGTGTGTACTTTATTTTAAAAGGCACAACAAACCAAAAAGTACTAAAGATACGTTTTACAAATGATAACAGTTGTTTTGACTAGTGAACTGTATTTCATATTGTTCTCTTGCTGTGTTAGCTCTAGCTTGTACTTGTTTAACAAAATCATGTTTTGCTAGATCAGGATTCAAAAAACTTTCAATAATGTGATGTTCAACCTATGAAAACAGGAGTAAAACTGACTTGTGGGAAAATGTATTTTTATTACAAGATGATAAATAGAATCGTAAGCACACATTTTTCTAACCTCATTACAGAGTGCTTCTAAATGAAGAGCCTCTAACTTCTGTGTCATTTCCTTCTGCCGGCTCCTAAACCAACCATCAAAGTTGGGCGATTTCAAGAAATGCCTAGTAAAACACCAAAGAAAAATACATTTTCTATTTTAAGTACAATATGGAAACAGTGTTTTCTACATCATCAAATGTAATTATATTTGAGATTGAGTAAGATATTAGAACCCTTTCTCTATATACTTTCAAAAAGATGTAATATTCTAAAGTATATTAGAATTAGAATATAGAGATTAACATTAATTCTGGTAATTAAGACAAGGATTGAGAAAAGAATGAGAAGAACATGTGCCTGAAACACAATAAAGATTAGGGAATTTTAGGAAAAAAGAGATCAAGGCTCAGTTTGAAATAGCCTAAGTTTTATCTTTGTGTTTGATTGGAAGGAGGAATCAAGCTAGAACAAGAAATAAAACCACAAATAACATTGATCTACAGAAACCTGTAATGTTAGCAAAAAAGAGATTTAAGCAAGTAAAATATGCTTAGTCCTATCAATTTCTATTAAAGCATATATTCTCAAAGAAAGTCTTACTCAAATCAATCCTGATAGTAAGTTTCCTCAGGAAAAAACATCATTAATATTACAGACCTGTTTTAATTTATATAATTTTTATGTTGATGAAAGAAATTACCTGTAAAGTCCTATCCAATCTCCCTTTAAACCTGAGGTGAGCTGTGGTCCTGCTTTTTCCAATGTTTTCATGAAGTCATCTTGGCTAAACTGCCTCAGCTGTGGTGGACTCTATGGACAGAAAAAAAAAAAATTAGTAGACCTTAATTTCTCTAGTTACCAATTTCCAGCTCATTCAAATTACACTTCCTTACCTTCCAGGGTGATATGCATTTCTGCAAAGGCATTAAGCTTGCCACGTAACGTTCCTGGGGAAAGGAAAAGGAAAGATTGTTTGCATAACCAGTATTAGAGATACACAGTCCACATGTGTGTTTACTTATTGCCTGTGACCACAGCATTTTCTCTTCCCAGTGTTAGTACTGGGTGGGGTTGTGCGTATTTACCACATGAGAAAACAAGAAGGAGCTTATCTTATATAGACTTTATTTCCCAACTCCAGAACTTTGAGCCAGTAAAGGTCAAGGAGGACACGAGGCAAAGAAGGACAGGAAGCAAACGAAAACACAGAATATCTATATCTATAACAATTTCTTCTTTGGAAACAGTCCACAGGTACCTTCATATCATGGGTGATTCCAAACAGTAACCAGGCTTTGTATCAAGTGTTTGGAAGAGATTTTCTGAGTCCCTTACCCAAACATTAGAGTTAGAACTCACTCACAGAAGACTGTCTGAGCTGTGGCCATCTCTGGTCTAGCAAGGCTTGGCACAGGCATGGCCAGAGCTCCAAGGTGTCCAAGGCACAGGGAGTGGGGCCACTGACAAGTGTCAGGTGTGACAGCAGGAGGCAGCTGTGCCTCGTGCTGGATCCAGGCTTGATTCCAGGGGTACATTGGAGAGCTGCTGGACTTAGGGTAACTCCAGAAAAACTACTCCTTATTACTTATGTAAAAACCCCATTACTCTAAGAACTCACTAAAGGAATAATGAAACTTTCCGTCAATTCCAAGAAATACCGCCGAAGTATCACACTCTGTGCTTCTGTAGGACGTTTCTGTTGTACTCCCTTAAAAAAACCCAAAACAACAAATCACAGTCAGTCTGTTACTCCAAAGTATGTAGGTAGTTGTGGTGGGTTTACTTTTATGAATATTTATTATGAGTCTGTATTCATTTGCCATATTCCCACACACAGCACTTCCTACCCTGAACCGGAGAAGGAAAGCAATAGCATCAATTTATTTTGCACAGACATTTGTCTTTGCAATTACTGATTTTTTTATTTTCATGTGAAGAAGCTCAAGGAAAGAAATGTTTCTATAAAGAAGTGTTTGCAAATCAGTTAAAATCTGGAAGCTCTGATTCTTACACACCTTATGTGTGAGGCTTTTAGACCAAAGAGACCAGAGTAGGGGTGGCAGAGGATGGCAAACCTCAACAGATGAACAGATAAAATACCTTCATTTCTCTAAATTATTAAGCTAGCTTACTGAGGTCCACCATTCATCTAGTTATTAAAGCTGCTAACTAGGCAGCAGCCCTTCTACAATGAGGGTGTATATACATCTATTTTGTTATGAACTGGGGCGAAGAACCAGAATCCAGTTTCATTTCAATTACAGTAAGTGCAGCCTTATATAAAACCACTGTACCACAGTACACAAAATACACAAACCACTTGCCATTAAGAAGTGATCTACACCATTACCTTTTGCAACTGCTTAACAATTTCTTCATCTTTGTTCAAGTATGGTTTGTAAGAGGTATAAACACCTAAAGAAAAAAAGCAGCATATAGCCAAAGGAGAAATAAGGTTCACTTTTTAAAATGAAAACGCTAGCAATTTAACTCTCAAGTTATTACCAGGTTTGGAGTCCAAAGTTTTTAGGTTCTTCAGTTTTTTCACTTTCACCTGCTTTGGAACTTCACCTGCCAAAACACATAAAGCCACCTTAATTGAAGGCTATCTAATATTGTCAGAAACATTAGAAACACTGACAAGAATCCAAGTATATATCCAGAAACACCCAGCAAACACATGAATAACAGCAAATAGACATTTCATTTCACATAAGCGTTCCTTGTTGAAATAAAAAACAAAGAAAAAAAACCCAAAAAACCTGAAAACCAACAAAAACCCAAAGAAGCAAAAAGTGAACCAAAAAACCCCACAAACAAAACCAGACAAAGGATGACCTTCTGAATCCAAGCAGCCAATGAACATACAGATATATAATAGCAAATAATTATTTTCTTAATTTCATATTTTTATTCCAATTCCCCTTGTTCTCCTTAGTGTAAATGCTCTCGGGAACAAATCTTTACCTTGAGATAACTAAAATTTGTATAGAAGAAAATAAAACAGTGGCCATGGATTAAGTGTTGTAAGAAAATGAATTCAAGTCTCCTTTTTCATAGGCCGTACTAAAGGCTTTTGTTTTATTTTGCCAAATTATTCTGCTCCAACCAGAAGACCCTAAACCCTGTTCACAGTCTTGCAGCCTCATTAGAACCTTGCTCCTAAATCTATTTGGATGCTCAACTTCAGAAACAGTAACAGTTAAACTGCTCTTGGAAGTGCAGAGTGGGGGGAAAATGAAGGAAAAAAAAAAAAACAACAAAAATAATCAGAACCCCTCTTTGTCCCTCCTCTTTGTCCCTAAAGAAATAAAATATAAATTTTTAAAGACAGGTCAGACAGATACATCTCTAGGACTTCCTGACTAAGCATTTCCCATAGCTACATCAAAACTAGGATTTCATACTTTAAACTGTATATCAGATTTGAAGGCCACCTGTTTAAATGGATTTGCAGAGTTCAATTAAGATTCTATTTTCCAAACATTAGCTACACAGCAGAAAAGTAACTCTTCCCCACACTGCCCAAAGCCCCCACAGGTATTTTGACTATAGACAGACATGGTATTTTAAAGTTAAGCAAAACCTTGCCTAATTATATTGAACACAGTATGTAATCCTTAATTAATTCAGTGTACTCAGAAGTTAAAATTAACTTCTTCTAGAAAAATTAATTTTATGGTGTTTTATCTTAATTGCATATTTATGCATTTCCACTGTCAGAACAGCACAGTGAACATGTAGCAGCAAATAGCTACATTCACGAGTTTCATACAGTAATTAGAGTGGTGGCAATTGACAAGTTATCCAAATATGAAATGAAAATTCTACTAATTTGTATAAGGACATCATCCAGACTGGAAAATTAATAATTACTGGAATATTGCCAGATTAGAAATATATTGTCAAAATACTGTCAACAACTTTTTAGATTACTCTAACATTCAAGCATAGTTTTCACATGGGTCTTATATTCTGTGCTGGCTGTGATCAATTTATTATATTCTACTCACACTAAAATTAACATCAGTAATGTATTATGTCTCATTTTAATACCTTATTGGTAGAGATACAAATTCAGGATTCTGTGAAAGGTAGAACATTATTACAAATGAGTATTGCTATCTTTTGCATTTAAGATACTAGATTTGAAAAGCCATAGAGCACTCAAGATTCTAATTTCACTTGACAGATTTACATCCATGAAAATTTAGTTAGCATTAGATGAATAAATGGAACATAATTACATACATTTGTAAATAAATAAGCACACAGTTAAATCCCTTTGCACAGGACTGTAAAAAATATTTTTATTTTACCTGGAAGTTTGATGTCGCCAATTCGGATAATGTGAGGCCAGTGCTGAAGTGTTTTAGCAAAAAAGGGATTTGTAACCCCCAAAATGACAGATGGCCTAAGAAAAGTAATGACAATGTTTAAAATATGACAGCAAGAGCTTCAGCCTTAAAAACCAGAAAAAGCCAACTTGAATTGTTAACTTGAAATTATTTTTCTTTGGTATTTAAGAGTTACATTTTAAATTGCACATAAGAGCACAAATGCTTATCAAAGTTTCAATGTTTTAGAAAGTAAGACAGGTATCCTAAAATCCAAACAACAACAATTGTTGTTGAATAGAATAAAAATGACATCATCTGCTTAGACTTGGCTAAATTCTGCTTGCTTGCAATGGTGAGAACAGCACATTATCTGTTATTAGGGTTTTGCAATGTGTTGGTTTTTTGTTTGTTTTTTTATGAGCAGGAATCTGACCCGTATTTGAAAGACAAATAGCTACTTTTCAAGGTTTGATGATAACAAACTCTCAGTACTTGAATGTGCATGTCATTAAGAAAATGAGGCACTTAATATCCCACTTGCTTTAAGCAGCAGTTATTAAGTGGTGCAGCACAAGCACTTTAAGAGCACGGTGCCCCAGGTCACTCTGGCAGATTTTTCTGCCTGCTCTGTGCTTGGCATCTAGCTTGGGGGTGCACAGGGGCACACAGGGAACAAGAGGCAGTAAGAGCACAGTGCTGTAGGCCTTCAAAATTTGGGATTTATAGCACTGATATGATGAGGTATGAACAAGTTTTTCAATACAGTGGTTGCCATCCATTTACAGTCAAACATCAGCCAAGCAATATAGCAGTAATCTCACCGAAACTGCCATCTTAAAAATAGCTTATCATTTTGTTAGACTGGTCTTAGAAATCCCAAAGTTTAACACTTTCTGTACACTACCCGTAAGTTTTCCTGCTCTCCTCTATTATTAAGATAATAAAATACACAGAATGTGCATAATTTAGATTCTTCACCTTCTTAGAGCCATAGTTTTAAAAACCTATTTCCAATTTTTCCAACTTTTTGTTTTCCATAAGAAAGTCAGAGCAATTTCAGCTGTATTTCAAATACCAATCCCTGCAGTGACCAACCTTTCTATTTTGTTATAGAAGAGTGGATGGAATTTTGAAACATGGGTTACTAAAGTTTGACCAAATTCTTCCTGGAGTTATTTTAGAAACTAAATTACATACTGCATAACCATTCCCATGGAACACAATCTAAAACATATTGACTATGTTTATGTGTTTCTCCACTGCTCTGTCTCTGGCAATACACCCGTTAAGAGGAAAACTACAGGAAAAAAAACAACAAAGCAAACAAAAAATCAAATCAACAACCTCTGCCTGTTCTGACATTAGAAGAAACTTATCTATTAAAAGATCAGTGAATCTAACAAATGCACTCCATTCCCAAATGAAGCTGCATTTAAACAACATATTCATACTGGAGGCATATGCTCTCAGAGTAAGAGGAAGATTAAAAAAAATAAAGGGAGAAAAAAATGTGTCCTTAAAGCAGTTTCAAACATCACTGGTTCTGAACATTCACACTCTTAAAAAATTAAATTTCTGAATTTTTTACATTAATAACCTAATAAATTTAGTGAAGAGTTTCTTGATTTTTAAATTGTCTCAACTAGGACACCAACTGACTTAGCTTTACCAAATAGCTGTACGGATGTTGAATTTTACAAGTCACTTTGTTTAGCAGTTAATTAAAATTTGAAACGATTACAGCAAAATTTCCCAAGGAGCTACGCTGGTGTTGCACAGACTTTTTTCATGGAAAAGCAAGAACTTTTCTTGGGTTCATACTTGCAGTTTGACTTATTCAGTAGAGAAGTAGCCTATGAAACTCAAGCCTAGTTTAATTACGGCATTGTTTCCCAACTTCTTTGTCTTATCTAACTGGAATAAAAACTTAAATCAGCTAATTACTGCATTCTGCATGATAATCTCACAAAAAAAAAAAAATAGTCTGAACCTAATTCTCTAATTATAGAATTCCAGAATAGTTAAACAGTATTTTAATACAAATTTATGGTTCTGAGTTTGAGCTTTGAGTAGCATCATCTCCAGAGCGTTCACTTTACTTACGGGGCTTGTGTGCGAGTTGTGTATTCTTTGAATTCACTGTCGTGGATGGTGAAGTATGGCCTGAAATCACTGCAGTACTTCAGTGGTGAAATACAGCTGCAAGGTACAAGAAGGATGAGCTTGGTTTATGTACTCAGTGAAAACTTTCATGAAAGACACAAGCAAATCTAAAATTTGTAATGCTTTATCACATTCAGATCAAATGAAGGTCCAATCAGCTGGAATCTTACACCAACTCCCTTAGCCATAGTTAGAAAGCTCTACTACATTTACCTAACAAGGGCCAACACAGTTTCTGAAGATTCTGCTGGTGATGGTGCCATCACAACAAGTGGTTCTCCCAGCAGCACCAGCTCCCAAAGCATCTGAATGTGGAAGAACACTGGACAGAAACACCTAAAAACAGATTGAGGTATTTTAATACATTTGACATCATAAAATACGTATTCCTTCTGGTTAATAAAGGCATAAAAAAGAAGTCTGTGGTATTATTTTAATAGTAATTTGAAAAACATAAAATACTCTTGTAAAATGGAACATTTAATGAACTTGCTTATTTATAAAACCAACACTGATAAATGTTAGCTTACAAGCCATGAGATGTGTTAAGGAACTGCCATAAATCAAAACCATGTGGGAGTTCACAGCTAGGAATTAATCAGTCCAAACTCCTACCTGAAAAGATCTACTTCATGAACAGTCGGTAAAGCCATGGAGATCTGAGCATCTGCCTAAAAGACATCGCAATGCTTGGTTTTTAGTCATCAGAACACCTAGGTATTAAATGAAATGGTTTCCCTTAAATGCTTACAGACAGTAGACAGGATACAGTCTAATTATTTATGTAATGCTGTAATATATAGTACATTATCTCCACAACCACCTTTATGTTCTATGAGCAAGACATCCCCCAAGACACACACAGCCCCCGCCAATTACAAGCATGTGGCTTTCAGCCCAGAAAATATGTAAAATACTGAAGCTGTTTCAAACAACCGCACATGAAGACACAGACAGATTGGTTTTATAAACATCTTCTATGGCTAAAGACTTTTAATTCTGGATTCATCCTCAAAAAAACCCAAACTATCCAAACATTAAAAGGATGTTCAGGTCAGTAATTTTGTCAGCCAACTATCTTCTTCCAGGACCTGGGTATCTCTCCCTGCTCAGGACAACTGAGTTGGAATATACTTTCTATGAAGAATCCAGATCTGTACTACTGGATTCAAGTTTCAAATACTGTGGATTTCATTATTATCATCGTATATGATGATTTGCTACCAATCTTTTCTAACTAACAAGTTTAAAAATGAAAGCAGATCTCTAGCTTTGTCTGGGGCTATATACAATATCAGTACTGATCACTACCTGGTGCATATTCTGTACTATCGGTGTTGTTCCAGGCTTGTCACGATATGTTGGAATCCGCAACTTGGAAAGAAAAAGAAATATTTATTTTCCCTTGTATTGAATCCAGCAGACACTTAAGAATGCTGACTTAGATATAACCTATAATTCTTTGAGAGGATATACTACAGCATGATGCTTATTTACCCTAAAGAACTTCCACCTACAGAATTTCCAATTGCAAATTGAGTAATAGAACATTAAAATAATACTCCAGTTTAAAAAGAGACTATTGGCAAAATAAGTCAAAACTGTTACTGTAATTTCAATAAAAATACCTCTAAATTTTGGAAATAATGATCTGAAATAAGGTCTTGGGGGTTTAAGATGGTACAAAATTACTTTTAGAAAAAATTCTCTCATAAAACATCAAGATGTTCTGGCAAGTGAGACTTGCCAGACCATAAGTATGCTTCTCTGACCCCCCAGTTTCCATCTGTATGTCTTGAGTACTAGAAATTTAATCATAGTGGAAGCTGGTACGCACAAATGGATGTTATTTACACACAACATTTAAAACTGCCCGAGCAATATAAAAAACCAGGGACAATATTACTGGACAGTAATTATGGCTTTACTCAGTTTAGGAATGCAATTTCAGTTCTCTTGGTTAAACATTATTGATGCAAGCAATACCCAAAGAAGACATTTCTGACACTCCTCATCACTCACCATCCAGAACCATTTCATTAAATTTCTGCTTTTAGTATAGCTTCAGAAACTTCCTTCTCTCCCTGGTGATGCACACATGTTTTTCCATAAACTTGAGAGTAGCTGCTGAAAAGGTACTTCTGGCTGTAATCTCTGACTTAATCAAATCCATTTAATTGCATTTCATATGGATTATGAGATTAATACAACTCCCAGAGGTCTAGTTCTTAACCACTGTTTAAACTCAACAGTTCTTCACTATGCACTAGATACAACTTCTTTAATAGCTTTCTTCAGACATATTTCACTGCCATTAAACAATACAAACTGCACAAGCAATTATTTCTGGTGTGTGGGACAAAAAATATTTTTACTTGTCAACTTTCAGGAATGAGAATGATTTTCATTAATCTATTTAATTTGCTTGACTGGAATTTAACTCTCAGTATTTTCAAGTGCTACTTTATGATTGATTTGACAAATATAATTAGCACTAAAGTCTCCTAGAATGCAAATTGCAGAGGTGTAATACAGAGACTGCAACTAGTAGTTGTATTGAAACATCACTTTTAAGTAACTACTAAAATTAAATATTGACCTAAGCACTATAAAGATCCTCCCCTCAATTAAAACACCTAATCAAGATCTCCCAGACCTTCACTCTGAGTGCTGTACACATATACTTCTGTTTGGAAGAATAAGACAATGAATACAAGGCACAAGGCAGTGAGGAACTGTACAGTGAAAGGTGGGGAAAACACCCTCAGAGAAGAACAAGTGCAGGAGTCCTTACCTTCATTATAAGACCCATAAGAGGCAACTGCAGAACTTTCCCTGGAACTGGTGGTGGCCAACGATCAATGTCACTACAAACTGAAAGAAAAATACCAGAGTTTCTGCAAGCTATAAACCATGATCACAGAGTCACCTTTGTGCACATTGCAACTTCAAATTGGTGCTAATAATCCACAGCAGTTCTACTTGTCTCTCAATCACACCAAAGTTTTACAGCCAAAAGGCTGTAAAAAAAGACATTATGTATTATTCCATTAGAACTATAAAGATTTCTATTTCAAGAAAACAGTGCACTCTGGTCGTCCATTTTTTGTAGCAACAAGACTCAAAATTAGTTGAAGAAATGTTATTTGAGAAACCATAAAACTACTTACTAAGAATATTTGAAAAGAAAACCTTCATTTATGTATATTGACTATTGCAGAACCAATAAACAGCAGGAGTTAAGGAAAAAAGCTGTTTTTTAGCTTGGCTAGAACATTTTCTAACATTTTCTTGTAAACTATTATGAATATAATGCCTAATTCTCATAGTTTTTGCAGAGCTTATTTTGCTCATAATACAACCTCTCAAGAAAACAGGTGATTGAAAAACGCAATTTTTTCACGGTTTATACGAATTTTTGTTCAGTGGAAACACAAAAATATGAAAGTTGTATGGGGCAGGCACAGTACACAAAACAGAACTCTGCCATGCAAAGAGCAAATAACTTTTCTATTTGTCTTTCTCCAGCTTTTTCAGGTGTGCAGTAAGGCTGAGACACTTGTTACCAGCGCTGCTCTGTCACTTTTTTCATTTGGTCAAAAAACAAACAAACCACACACATACAAAACCAAACCTCAAGCAAGATGACATTTGTACAGCTGCTTAGCAAAGTTGTCAGACTGCCCAAAAAGACTTGGGTGGTGAAGAGTACAAAGTAAGGATTGCCATCAGCTCCTTGTGCTCAACAGCTGGTCCTGAAACACACACAACCCTAGATGTGTTTCAGGAGGGACTTCCAACTCTCCCAGGGAAGATCCAGAATTCAATTAGCTCTGTTCAATGATCTACAAGTCAAGCCAATTTGCTAAAATTTCAACCCTCTACCCTGCAAGAAGACAAAACCACAAACTAGAACACGACAGTGCTGTTTATTTCTCCAGAAGAAGTATGTGATATTGTAAGAGCTCAACATTACAGGACCACTACCTGCTTCCAGGAAAGCTTCACTCTTTTCAAAATATTCTGGTGCTATTTGCTTAAGCATGGTACGAAAGAGATGGACATAAGGCAGCTTGCTGATGAGGACCAGTGACTGGAATAAAGAGCAACAAAACAGATTTTCAAGTCAGCACTTGCCCTCAGTTCTACTGCACCTGTTACCCTCAGACAACACTAAGTGGGACTTCTCTCACACATGCAAGCCAACTACAGCTCTGACTACAGGCAAACTGCAAACAAACAACTCCCAAAACTTCCCAACTTCTTGTTTTTAAACACAGACACAAAACTATCTCTTCTGACAGCAGAACTGGAAAATAGCATAGCTGATGTAAAATTAGACCAATTTACTATAAATTAACAACTAATTTAGAGAGCAAGACAATTTTTCTGTTCCTCTGCAGTCACTGAAAAGTAATTTCCAAATTAATATTTTCCTAAAAGAACTGAAATTACCTTCTGGAAATAGCCTCTTTTTAATGATTTGTCTCGAACTTGTCTGAAATACACATAGCCATAGTAATATGCTGAGTCTTTCTGCAAAAGAAAGGAAAGAATTCAATACAACCACCTGTTACTGACCTCCTTTTTTAAGCATTCAACATACAGTTTAAAAGCCTATTCCCCTGTGAGCTCCAAAGTTGATTGGATACAATAAACTACAAGGATTACTGTGGTTATTAGTGTTATCTTTTTTAGTAAGCACTTCAAAGAGAAAACATCATCATGGGGAAACAGCTGTGCTTTCTGGCTTTATTATTTTTATATCTACATTCTCCTGACACACTGTGAAAGCAAAACCAGAAATAATTTCTTGAGGAATAAATCAACTTTTATAATTCTGCAAAATAGCACTAAAAACATTTTAGCAGTTAAAAACCTTAAAGCCCTGACTTGAAGAGATAAAACCTAGTCTTTCAATGTAATAGTTTTACAAAAGATTTTTGGAATATTAAGGAAGTAGGCTCTCACATTTCAAAGACAAGGCATCAGCTTCATCCTTCCTACAAAGAGGAATTCAAGTATTTGCCACATAAAGAGAATTTAATTGAGTTTGAGAATCAGGCTTCCAGAGGTCTCAGTATTCCCTATGGCCATGATGAGAACAACTTTTTGTTGTTCTATCACTATCTCTTTTGGGTAACTGCTCTAGCTTCAAAAAGTGAAGGGTGGAAACCAAGACAGCCCAAGCTGCTTGGAATTTTTAAAATTAAGATATAAAGCACATTACATTTCCACAACAGGAATGGTTCTTACAGTTTGATCTACAGCTTCCTAGTCAATAATGAAATAAATCTGGGCTTCAATTTAATTCCTTGTAATCCAAAATTCACACTAATAAAACAAGGAATAGTTAACAAAACTAATTATTATTATTATTAAAATAACATGATACAACAAACATGCGTTTTGATTTTCAGGACATTCAGTTCAGAGATTTTTCTTTTCAAACATTATATTTAAAGGTGAAGACTCACAAATTAACATTACCGAAAAGAAATTTAACTTCATTTTTTCTCATTTCCAACCTTTAAGTAAACTGGTAGATCTCTATCCAATTGGTCCAGAAAACAACACAATGAGACTTTCCTTCCAGGAGACCGTCGGAATCTAAAACAAAATTGTGTGTCCCCAAGACAACCTACATGGGGGAAGAAATAAGTGAGAGACAGTATTCTGAGTTTGAGCCTTGATTAACATGAGCACTTGCTTACAGCCAAAGAGGCATCAGAGTTTTGGTTCATTTATCTTGCACTGTACTTGTGAATGTTAATATAGTTATCATTGTATAAGTGGAAAGTCTGGCATCTTTGCCAATAGTAAATATACTGTCTGCAACAAGGAAAAAAAAGTCACTGCCTCACAGTGACTATCATGGCCTCAAACAGGTCAAATGGTTGTTCTCCTACTGCCATTACCCATTTCACTGGCATGCCTATATGGTTTTGATCATCTTGGCCATGTCATCCCTCTGCTAAGTGGCTGCACTTTACCTCTTTTTTTGACACCATACAGTTCATACAGAAGTCACACTGTAGGATTGCATTATGCTGATCTGTAACTCCACAGGCAGGTCTAGGATTCATCATTTTGAAAGCTGCAAAGCTAATTGCTGAAAACTGAGCGAAATTGAGTACGACTTCCCAGTAATATCCCCAAGGAGCAAAGTTTTCCTTCATTTCTATCAAAATGAATTTCTTAGAAAAAAATGTAACTAATTCTCTGCGGAACTGTTTCACCAGACTTTAAAGTTCCATTTAATCTTCTCTTTCAGCCACACACATTCTGCTACAACAAGCACAGACAGCCCAACCCCTCAGCCAGATGCACTGGCTGTGCAGAGCAACTGAGGGGCACAGAGCACCCAGGTCTGAGTCTCAGAACCCCTTGAAGCTGCACTCAGAAACCCTCAGTGCACCAAGACAAAACCAAAAGTAGCAAAACATGGTGAGACGGGACCATTCAATTCAAACTGGTAACAAGTGCTCAGCAAGGATGCAACAGTAAGGAAAAACACAGCACATGCCAATAACACGGCACTAAACATTCGCTTCAACTTTTCAAAGCTCATTCCCTTCATCCAAAGGAAAAAAGCCCTCATGAATTATTATAAAAACCTACACACAGAAGATCTAAATTACCCTTAACCATTACTATGTAATAGTACTTAACCAGTACTATGAAATATCATTCAGAATATCATGTCTTCTTATTTAACAAGCTCTTGCAGAGGAGATTGGTAAATGTCTATTCTTTTTTCAATTACCCATGCAGAGAAGGTAAAGCACTGTTTTAGAAATAACTGTACTGCAAAACTCAGCTTAAAACCACAAGTGTTGTGATCTAGTAGCTCATTAAATCGATTTTCTCCTCTAAATTCACAGCCAAAAGTACTGGAATAACATCTCTTTGTAGTAATAAGAGAATAAGGTTGAATTAACCTTTTCAGCCATGAAAACCTGGGATGGGCTGACCTCAAAGTTAGCTGTAAGCTAACAGCTTCCTTCACTGCCCTATTATATAAAGCTTTTATTTTTATGCTAAGGCCTATGATGAAAAAATAAATCCTAACAGGATACACTTCCAGTCTTGTGGAAGGCAGGTTTTACACAGGTAATTCTCTCTACATCATTTAAAACTTAAGCCTACCAAGAATGATCAAGAACCAACAGTTCTTAATAGGGACATTATAAAAAGCAAAAAAGCAGATTTTTTTCCTGCTGAAAGTAAAACCTACTCATATACACCTGCCTGAAGCAGGATACTACACTATTATTTGAAAAAATACATGAAAATTTTAAAAAAAATTTAAGAAAGCAACCTTTGTTCCTTACACATGATTTTGTACCTTTAAAATACATTTTAAAGACTGAAGATATTTATAACATTAACAATGAGATTAATTAGAAGATATAGTTAACTCATATTTCAGTAACAGAAAGAAGCTGTGCCTCTATTTGCACACAGAATAGCAAGAACAAAGAAAATACCTTCATTTTAGTGACGTTTAGATAAAGAAGAAAAACTAGCCAAAATATTCTGTAAAATTACATAAGAGAGAGCTCACACACATAAAAAGCACACATCTGCATCACCCTCTATCCAAGCTGTCATACTGCAGAGCATCCAAAAGCACAGAGTCAGTGCAGTTACAGGCACAATGCTGGTCATGCAAGTTTTGACTTCTGTATAGAAATAAATATGAAAGGAAGTGTCTGAACTTCTGTAATTTCTTTTTGTAGGTGGTCCAACCCCTCAGCCACATGCCCCAATTTCTCCTTGGCAGCAGAAGAGCAAAAGTTTAGATTTGAGAACAATTTAACAAGCAGGACCACACACAGCTACAGGCACAGCAAGAATGTAGAAGAGAGCTGAGGTTTTCCTTTCACAACTGTTCTTTCTAAATCCTTTTGAATTTTAAAGTCAGTTTTACTGTTATGAACTTAGAAAATATACCTTTAGTCCTTTATGGGAAGAGGGTTCCATATACTTCCATTTGCTTTATTAAATCCTTCAAATTCCATGCCTACTCTTCTCTCTACAGTGACAATACTATTAATTTGTTTAAAGAGCTAGATTAAAATGTTCATTCTTTACTTGACAAGTATTCTGAAATGTCTGCACAAATGTCATCTGGAAGGTCTTACACACTTACATAAACCAGAGAAGAATCCTCAGATCTTACTGCAATGCAGACAGTTGCAGCTTTCTATTTAACCTTAGCTGCAACATTTCTGTATTGCAATGTTAATTAAGATATATAAATACGTATTTGATCTAAAGCGCAGAATACATCCTGTCAAATTTGTTTTTAATACAGTTTAGTTCAACAACAGATTACAGAGTGAAAAAAGCACTTACCTGAATTAGAATCTGGAAAAGACAAATAGCAAATATTGGTTTTCTAAAAAGCAGAGAAAATAAAAGAGCTGTTATATTTCCTGAGATGTATTATATTTGTACTTCCTAAGCTAAAACCAAATGATATATAGCAACTATGACTTACCTCTTTATCTGTGAGTTTGGAATGTGGAGGATATATCACCTACAGGAAAAAAACAGTATTCATTTATTCTAAAATAAGCTGGGTATAAGCAATAAGTTTCCATCAAATATTTTAACAGTACAACACTCCAACACCTTCCCAGCTTTAGGACATTTTCAGTTGTAAGCTATTAATATTATGTCTCACTTCTTATCTTCATATACTTTTAAGCTTTCTTGATCACCCATCTTTACAAGGTATTTTGGATGCCAGTTAGAGACCACACATGTTCATTTAAAAAGGTATATTCAGAGTGTACATTCAGAGTAGTTGAGATTTTTGATGCAAAAGGTCTCAAAGGAGAGCAAGATTATATCTTTTAGATTTAACTTGTACATGCAAAATGCAGTAGATGATTACATTTAAAGCAAACACACATTATTGTCTGAAATCTGATGCTATCAAGTTAGGCTGGAGTAACCAAAATTCAACCACAAAACACAGTCTATATTATTACCAGCTCTTGGAGGATGAACACTAGTCCCTAATGACAACTGTGAAAACTCAAGGAATAAATTCAAAGTTGTGGCTTTTTGCACTTAAAAGAAAAACAAACAGATAATGTAGTAAGTTTTCACAACACAGAAATCAAAAATGATGCAACACAACTAAGATGCAGAAGCAGCATTATTTCAGAAAAGAAAGGATGTACGAAATCAGTGATTATGCAAGCAGGTGAGAACAGAATATACAGAAAAGAGGACAAACCTCAGACACCTAAATTTCACCTAGAAAGGTCCTCAAAACAACCCACAGCCCACTCCAAAACTCCTGAAATGCGTGGCTAGCTCATAAGCAGAGGAAATTTGACATAAATTCCAGGTTTATGTTTCAAAGAAGGTTTCAGGGCTTCCAAAGATGGGACGTAGTCAAAGAGCAGAAATTCAATGCAGGAACAGTAGCTCAGTAGCTTCTTGAAGTCCTCATGTTACCATACAGTTAACATCCCATCATCTCATTTAATCTTGTTCTACTTAATGTAGGTAAATTTATTTCCTGGTAACACAACACTATCCTAGCCTATAGAAAAACAACAGATATACCCACCAGCTGATCTCTGACTAAGCACCTTTCTGTCCTCCAGCCATAAAATCTCCAGTGCATTTTTTTTCCCCTCAGTCTCCTATCAAATGATGTCCAGCTGTGTAAGACATTATTAGCACAACTGAAGCTGAAAGCAGACACCAGTGAACACCTGCATTCTGCATGCAGTACACCCATCACTGTCTCTTTTCCAACTCTTAATACTTTCCTTTGCTATCTTATGCTAAGCAGCTGTTCACTAAATGTAACTCTTTCAGAAGCTGAATGATGCTGAATTATCCACATTTAGTCAGGAGATTGCCATACAGCCTTGAATTCATACTTGTTCTCCTCACTAGCAGGTGTTTCTTCCCAGAATTCCTGTGTAAACTGAAGCTAATTACTCTTCCTGCAGCTACATACCGAAAAAAACCAACAACAACAACCCCAACAACCCCACCACAAAAAAACCACCCCAAAACAACAACAAAAAAACAGGCCTTAGTTCCGTAGACATTTTAAGTCTCATTTTATGCATCCAGTTAAATTAATGTGACTGTCAATGGAGAAGTTTGCAGCCAGGACACAGGCCGTGCTTCCCTCAGCCACTGAGCAGAACAGCTGCCCAAGCCACAGGTTATACAGAAATGTTTGTCTTTGTTCTTAACACCACCATACAACATCAAGGGAAGAGAACTCAGATAATTAGCACAGTATCCTGGTTTTATCTGCATTTCTTTGTGGCCAACAGCTATATATTTTACATATTGTAATAGCTGGGTTGGTTGAATTTTAGGCCAGTCTGCCATGCATTTATGCTGGCACCCCTTTAAGGTAAGAGAAAGAAAAAGACACTTTCCCTGCAGACCAAGAGTTTGCTGCGCAGTCACATGGTGAACAGGGTGAACCAGGATGTGAAACTGATCCAAACAGTAATTCTTCTCTCCATTTCCCAGGACTGTGAGCTCCCCGTGCCCTCCCAAAGCAGTGCCACAGCTGTCCTTGTCCCTGTCCTCCCAAAGCAGTGCCACAGCTGTCCCTGCCCTCCCAAAGCAGTGCCACAGCTGTCCCTGTCCCTGTCCTCCCAAAGCAGTGCCACAGCTGTCCCTGTCCTCCCAAATCAGTGCCACAGCTGTCCCTGCCCGTGCCCTTCCAAAGCAGTGCCACAGCTGTCCCTGTCCTCCCAAATCAGTGCCACAGCTGTCCCTGTCCCTGTCCTCCCAAAGCAGTGCCACAGCTGTCCCTGTCCTCCCAAATCAGTGCCACAGCTGTCCCTGTCCTCCCAAAGCAGTGCCACAGCTGTCCCTGTCCCTGCCCTCCCAAAGCAGTGCCACAGCTGTCCCTGCCTGTTGCACAGCTGGGAGTCGCAGCCGTAGCTGTAACACTGACAGGGGCCGGCATCCAGCTTTGTGCTGAAGGAAAACTCTTCCAACCCGTACAGAACCTTTCCGCACACCTCAGCGACCTGGTGAACGCTGTTAATTATGAAGACCACTCAGATTCTCCTCATGATCATACTTTTTAACACCTAGACGCCCTAAAAATCAGCTCTATCCATACGCAAAGAAAGCCGACGATGTCCTTCACACAGATCCCGGGACGATGCAAACCGTTTCAAAGCGCCCACCGCCAGCACGAGCAGCGCCACGAGGAGAGCTGCCCGAAACCACCGGCCTGCCCCGGGACAGCCGAGCCGCCTCCCCGGGGCGCTGCCCCGCTCGCCGCTCCGCACAACCGCGCTTCCTCAAGCACGGCCGAGCTTCCCCCGCCTCGGCGCAACAGCGGGGCCAGAGGAAGCGCCCGATTCCGGCGGGCCCCGCCGCAGCCCGCAGGCCGAGCGGTGCCCCCCGCCGCCGCCGCGCGTACCTCCACGGCCTGGCCCAGCTCCAGGTCGAAGCCCACCACGCACACGCAGTGCAGCCAGGCTGAGAAGCGGTCCCAGGGCAGCACCGACAGGCACTGATCGGGACTCCCCGGCTCCGCATCCTCCGCGGCCACCACGGCACCGCCCGGCCCCAGCTCCGGCTCCGGGCCCCGCTCCCGCCGCGACATGGCCCCGACCCCGGCCCCGCCGCGCGGCGTCAGGTGACGCGCGTCGCCCCGCCCGCTCCCCCCGGAGCCGCTCGGAGTGGGAGTGGCCAAGCGGGCAGCGAGGGGAGGCCAAACCATTCCTGCGGGGAGCGGGGGGGGGGGTCGGGGGCCGTAGGGAGGGAGCGCCCCCGCGCGGCCCGCCAGGGAAGGCTGCGGGGCCCCGGCCCGGCCCCTGCGGGCGGGCGGCGCGGGGCGGGCCGGGGGCGGCTCCTCTCTCGGGCTGCGGGCGCCGCTCCGGGCCGGGAGCCCGCCCCGCTCTGCTCGGCCCGCCCCGCTCTGCTCGGCCCGCCCGGCAGCTCGCAGGCAACGGATCAATCCGCTTTCTGTTCTCTTGGACGTGTCAGTGACAGCACCTGCTGGGGACCCCGTGGCCGCCAAGTAATTAACCGGTGTGTCTCCATCGTGTCCTATGCACCGCTGAGCACGGCACGGGAGGCACATGGAAATACCCCTCTGGCTGGTGGCTGGACAGCTTCACCCTCACAGGAAACTGGGGTAATAAAAAAAAGCATCCAAATCTCTTAAACCCTCTTTTAGTGCCTTAGCCAAAGCCCGAGCTCTTTAATAATATAAGAGCTTTCAGATATTCTTTTAGCACAGTCCAACAGCTATTTATATTTCATTATGAAACACTTTGTAGAGTTAAAAGGGCTAAATAGGTACTTTATTTAACAATAAAGAGAAAAATAAAATATCATTCATGCATCTCCCCCAGACTCCTGACCTCTTTTAATTTAATTATTCACACTAGACTTTTGGTTGACTACTACTAGAACAGTCAGCAGCAGTAGGTGTAGATGAGATGCTACCTGAATCACTACATGCCATTTTTTTTCCTTGCAAATATTAAAACCAAGATAATACATCTATACGTACTTAAAAGAAAATGTATGACTCCTTAGATGCACTGCTTCCTTAAGGCCCATTAACAACATTTGTTTATCTATTGAAAGCAAACTGCTAGAAATTAAAGTATGCTTTGATCACTGGAGTAATTTTCTAGACAAAAGATGAATAAACATATAACACACAAAATTATAACACACAAAATTATCATGGTAATAACTTGAGATACAGCAGCCTTCAGTTATGATACACCATGAGTAGTGAAGTGAATGTTAGATACAAACTGAGATAGGAATGGGGTTCTGCAGTGTGCAGCCTCAGGCAGGCAGGGCTCTGTGGGAAGGCTCTCGCTGTCTCCAGCTTCTTCAGGTATTTTGCAGTGATACCGTGCAAGACTCACATATTTTTCAAGTAGTTAACTCCTAAATTCTGTAGAAGATTACTCCTGACAAAAAGACATGACTAAGACTGAACTTTATTAAGTTCAACTCAGCGCAATGAGTCTCAGTGGAATTTCATTTGCTGTTTCCATTTAAGAATTGAAATGGCCTAGCCAAAAGTTTTTATCACTTGGTTTAAAAGATTTCATGTCACTGCCTCTTATAAGTCTTCCCTTGTTTATATTCTTGCAAACCAAAATTTTTAGCTATTATCATCATGCATGTCCTTCTAGATTTGCTGGCCTCTTTTTGAATTTCCATGTGAATAAGAAGTGTATCTATGTGAAATAATAATAATAAAAGTACTTAGTAAGAGTGATACATTTTAGTAAACAGTAAATTAATTCCACTAGATGCTTAAAAAATAAGTCTTTTGTCAGGAGAAAGTTAAGAGAACAGACATGTGATCCCTGATAAAGTACAGAAGAAAGGATTCTTACCTACTGGCGATATTCCCAATAAAGAGTGATTCAGAAAAATTTTTCACTTACCTAATTTAAATACATTTTAGTTTTGACAAAATATGATTATTTCCTTCAGATGAGAAAGAAAAATATTTCTGCATGTATTGTAACATTTAGAAACATCTGAGTTTCTTCTTCAAGAAGAATCAATGCAGAGATTTCAGAGTTGGGGAACCAACTAACTGAGAGTATTTTGATACAACTTGCAATAAAGCCTCATAAAACACTAGGGCTCTGCATATGGAATGTGCTCTTACAAATCTCCAGGAACTCTGCCTTGTTTTGCAGAAATACAGCCATCTGTCAATATCTGGAAGGGTTTGGACAAGAGACACTGCTAGAAAAAGCATGCCCTTGATGTCAGTTGCTGGAATAAAAATGAGAAAAGGCCAAGGTGGGACAGCTGGGCTCTAAATATCCACAACTGGCCAGTGTTTGAGCCTGCCTTGCTTTCTTCCATGCTCTTATCTTGCTCCTACAGCTGCGCTGTCCTGCGTCTCTCAGCAGGATGGTTTCTATCAGGTAGCAGCAAATGTTGTGTTGGCTGCTGGCTGGCCAGGTTCCATCAGCTTCAGCAGGGAGTGACTGTGCAGACTGCTCACATCCACAGAGAAACACCAAAGTACTGCATAAACATCATCTGCTCATCTCATCTTCCCCTCCATCCCCCGCCTCAAGATTTAAAGCAGTATTTTATTTGTATTTGAAAATTATATTTGGTCTAATAAATACATTCAGTTAAATACACACAGATGCAAAAAGTCATAATTATTTTTAAAGCATCTTTTCCATTTTTCAAATAGCCACAGAAAACATCAAACATTTCAAAAAAGTCAATATTAATTTTGACTGTTAAATTGATATATTAATAGAAAAGCAAATAAGAGCTGGTCACATGATGACTATGTTCTGCTAAAATAATAAAGCAGTGAAAATGCCAGATATTTCAACTTGCCTGATTTAATTTGAAATAAAAAAATACTGCATGTAAAATTAGCTATATATTAGCATAACATGTATTAATTGTATGCATGTTACATTATACTTATGTATATATACCAAATACATGTAGTATCAACATACTATACAATGTACATTATATATATAAACAGATAGGATATATAGCACATAATAATAGATTTTAAATCATTGTATAAAACATTCATATTTATTACATATTCAAAATTGAATAGTACATTCAGTATATGCTCACTACATATATTACATTAATGTAAATATTATGTTGGTAAGACACTCATTTGTATACTGGATACGTGAATCCTTTTTTTAATGCAAACCAGAAATAGGAGCAGGGAATGATCTGAAAGAAAATTGAATAAATGGAGAACCTACCTGACAAGAGAGGATGAAACTGGTAGTTGCTTATTCTGTCAAAATTAATGCTGAAAGATAACTCACTTTTTTTTTACACAACCAGTCAGAGAGTTAAAAGATCACAAACAGAAAATAAGTCTGAAACAAAAGAATAAGAATAGCACTAAAATACAAATGTGTAACCCCTTCACTAAATCTAGAACCGCTTTTTTTAACACTGGAGAAAACTTCTTTTTGACAGCTCAGTTCAGAATGTTTTAGAAGCTACGTCTGAGGCAAGTTTGTTTTGCAAAAGATACATAAGGATATAAGTAACAGTTCAAACTTTGCTTTATATTTCCACACTGCTCTATACAGCAGAAAATGCCTTCTTAGACTGTCATATTTTAAATGCGGTATGGCAATTATACATGGAATTTGTATTTCTGAAAATCAGTACAAAACTGATTGGATAAATTGTTGATGAATGAGTTTCAGGGATGAGAACTCAATAGAAAACTGCATCTTCAAGTTTCTCCTTATCTGTTTATTCTGATTTCATTATCAGTTTGCATCTTAATTTTTACACTAGAAATAGGACTTTTGCTATACAGCATGCCTCAGTCATTTCAAATGTAACAACTTCTCTGGAATCAGCATCTCCTGCTAAGCAACTGGTTCATACCTCTGCACTGAAAACTCAGTCTGATATATATTAATTATTTTGGAAGCCTTTTAGACCATCATTGCTCCGTAGGCAGAAATCTGGCACTGAGTTGCCTATAATGCTGCTCGGTGTTTTTCTTTCTAAGTCAGTTAGCTCAGAATTCAGGACAGGCTTCCTTCAGCAAAAGATCTCATTTTTTCATCAAGTCATTAAGACTTTGACACACTCAAGCCAAAATCCAGATGTTTTTCAGGTATGCACATGAACTATGTAAGCTGCATTTCATCCGCCTGAAACAGACAGCAGCTCTGCAGGGGACAGATGTGACAGTGACAGTCCCCTGCAGAGCTCCCTTTCCCTTACCCAAGATGGACACGGAGCAGGCTGTTCCTGCCCGCAGTTATGATGGCTACGGTAACATTTCCACGGACTTCCTGCCCAGAAAACGGAGGGGCACGGTGAGCTCCTGCTGCCCGTACCCAACATGGCTGCGAGGCGCCCTGCCCGCTCCAGCTGTGCGACAGAAGCGAGACAGGGGCTGACACTTCTCCCTCCTCATCCTCTGAGACAGCACAGCGGCCGAGCGCTTCACACGGAACTCCGCATCCACCTGTTGCTTTCCACACGTCTGGGATGGACACTTTCTGGTAAGCAGCAGACACATCGTAACACCCATTCAATAATTGTATCCTCATTTCAGAATGCAACCTCTTTCTGTATTTTCATCTTAGCCTTGGCTCTGCCCCTGATAACCTCTGAACTCATCAGGCAATTTGAAATAGGAGCTGAAAAGCCTGAGGGATAACTACACCCACGCAGCTCCACTGAGAGCTGGCACCCATGCAGAGAAGGAAGGGTCAGATTAATGTCCTCGATGAGCAGTGGGTACAGCTCAGCTGTTACATGAGCCATTTGGCAGCGCCAGAGAACTAGAAAGGCACATACCATTGCCATCTGGTTTTCTCATACCATTGCGTGAGCCTGTCAGAGTGGGATTTCTCCAGGGGATGAAGAAGGGTTCAGGAAAACATGATATGCCAGTGGCTTACAGTTTAAATGGCACAGTTATATGATTGTTAGTATAAATACTTATAACATCAGAGAAAGGTATCCACTGCTGTTTATTATTTTCCCTGATTCTCTTAGATGGTAATGGATTTTTTTCATCTCTAATTTTACTTTCAGTCTCCTTTCTCCATTAAACATGTACACAAAAATATTAAAAATGCTCTCAGAAACATTATTTTCATTCCAACACCTGTAGTACCCTTTATCCCCACTTTTTACACTTTGCAATTCCAAAGTGCTCTCAATTATTTCTACTTTTGCAACTCATTCCCTCAAATGTAACTCCTAATGGACCTAAATTTATTCCCACTTTCTCCACCTTCCTTTTATACCTTTCCTTCTCCCTTTGATTAGTTATGGCACCCTGTGTGCTGTAAGCAACAGCCACACTAAATTTCCACTTACTAAAAAAATTAGTAAAATCAAATTATGATTATATTTATCAGAGTAGTACAATCTCATAAGCTGATGAAAGCCATTAAGGGATGTGCCAGGTTTTTTTTTTCCCTGTCAGGAGAATTAAAACTACAGATAAACAGTTCTAAACATTCCACCTATCAGTTTTTTGTTTTTGTCTTCACAAAATCAGATTTGTCTTTAATCTTGGATTTCATTTCTCTGTTTCAAACACAGATCTACAGCCTAGTTTTGCTGTTGTTTTCTCACTGGATTGTTGGGGAAAAAACTAGTCTGTTATGAATTAACCTCCTTTCCCCAAATCACAGAGTAGTCAAAAAGAAAAGGAAAAAAAAATGAAGACAGCCCTGAGATTTTACTGTGCTACAACTAAGAACACACCAAACATGCTTTGTCTCATACACTGCCCTGCCTTACCTTGATCCCTGCTTTTCCCCTTATCCACTGCTGAAGTGCCTGGCCCAGCTCCACTCCTGTCCTCCTTGGCTGCCAGCTCTTTCTGCCATCTCCCATATCCCTAATCCTAACACCCTGTCACCGGGTAATTATAGTGCTGGCATGACCCCAACATCTATCTTACAGCAACAATTCCCACTTGTTTGCTTTACAGAGAATGACGGAATTAAAAATGTATTTGGACTGGAGAGACTCGTTTGGCACCGGGTGACCTTGACAAGTGACCTTTCCTTGGCTTCTAGAAAACAGGCATAAATATGACCTTGGATGATGCTCCGTGGTGTAGTGAAGGAAGACACAGCACCAGTGACCCCACCTCAGTCCTGTGCCTGCAGCCACTGCTCCAGGAGTGCCCCTGCTCCAGCTGCCAACCTGCAATAAGACATGGCAAACATGGCATGTTTGCATTCCTCCGGCGCCAGGACACGTCAAACCACACCGCGGCTCCCGAGCTTTTTAATCTGCCGTCATAAAACGACCAGACGCGCACAGGGGAAGCAGGAGGATGTTCAGGAGACTCTTGCAGTTTCTCACGCAAGCTCTGCTGAGAACGTGTCACCCCAGCTTGCTCCTCTGAGCTGCGCACGTTCACAGCACCACGGAACATCCTGAGTTGGCATCAGGTCATCGAGTCCAACTCCCGGCCCTGCGCACGGTGCCTGCCAAGAATCCCACCGTGTGCCTGAGAGCTGAGAGCTTTGGCCAAAAGGTTTGTGAACTGGCAGTCTTGGGGCCACAGCCATTTCCCTGGGGAGCCTATTTCCAGTGCTCGACCACCCTCTGGGTGAAAAGCCTTCTCCTAAAATCCAACCTAAACCTCCCCTGACACAACTTGGGGCCACTCCTTCCCGCTTATTTATAAGGGCTGACGGGCTCTGCTCGCCCCCTCCCTCCCGAGCTGAGAACAGCGAGGGCAAAGCGACGGCAGGGGGCCGGGGCTCACTCACCTCAGCGACCTGCCCCGTGCCGGCTCGTCCCAGCCGCGCCCTTCGGGAGGAGCACCCCGCTCCCCGCTCCCCGCGCCCCGCTCCCCGCGCCCCGCTCCCTCCGGCCCGCCGCCCCCTCCCCGCCGCCCGGAGCGGGGCGGGGCCCGCCCGTGCCGCAGCCTCGCCGCGCGCGAGGCGCATGCGCGGGCCCCGCCGGTGCGCACGCTGCCCGCCCCCGGCCCCGCCCCGCCCGGCCCCGCCGCCGCGGCCACACCGGGAAGGGCTCCAGGCGCTATGGCGGCGGCTGCGCGCAAGGTAAGGGGGGAGCGGGGCGCGTCCCGCGCCGCCCGCGGGGCCGAGGAGACGCGGGGGGACGCGCCGAGGGACGCGCCTGACCCGGTTTGTTTTGGGCCCCGCAGGTTGGAGGAAACTTCCCGCGGCCGGTGGCCTCCTGAGCGGCAGAGCGACCGAGCGGGAGCGGCCGGGCCCGGCCGCCAGGCCTCTCCCGCCGCCGGGGCAGCGGAGCCGCGCTGGGCGGGCGGAGAGCGCGGGGGTGCGCAGCGGGCCCGCCTCATGCGCAGTCACCTGCGGAGGGGCTGAGCGGAGCCGCCGCCGCCGCCGCGCCCCGCGCCGGGGCTCCCGGCCGGCACTTGCCGGGGCAGCCCCCGTTACAGCACCGCGGAGCCGCCGCGAGGGACGCGCACCGACCCCGCCGCTGCCGGAGCCGCCGCCGCGGAGCGACCTGTCAGGGCACCTCGCGGGCCGGCCCCAAGAACCCTTCCCACGCGCTGGTTTGTCCCCGGGAGAAGGCGAGTTGGGAGCCTCTCCATGCCTTATCAAGTTCCTTATCTGAGCGGCTCCCAGAAGCTGTAGACCAGTTCAGCTTTATCTGGTGTAAGGGAGAAAACCAGTGTAATTCTCGCACTCCATCCTATATCGAGGACCACCTATTCTGCTGGGGTTTAACACAGGAAGATGGTGAAATGCGGATTGCTGGGTGAACCATTAGGTCCCTGTTGTGGAACGAGGGCTTTGTATTCACCTTCCAGTTCCTGATCTGTGCCGTGTGTGAGAGGACACTAATCTTTCTCCTTCATCCCCCTTCCCTAAACCTTTTCTTGCTTCAATGTTGCATTGGTCAGACTTTTGGTCAGTGTTGTTTACGGAAGGGGGGTGGGAACAAGGCAGTTGAGGTTACAAACAAAAGTACTTGTATGACTCATCTACTTGGATTTAAGACGTTGTATCCTTCTTTCACGGGGCCTTTGCTTCTCTCTGAAGGAATCAGATGCTTTTTCCTATTCTTCCAGGGGAGGATGGATTGAAAGTTGTACGTTTTAGACTTTTTTTGGGCCACTGCTGATATTAAAAGACATAATGGGACTTTTTCACTGGATTATTGCCAGAATTAGTTTACACACTGAAATAATGAGTTGTTAGGCCTCTCATATGATAATATTTGTCCTGCTTTAATATAAAGTTGCTGTGGAGGTGTTTTTAAAATTGTGGAGGACGGTCTGCATCAGAAGAGGCTCTCTTCATCTCTGGTTGGTGTGGCAACCACAATCTGTCCTCGATGCCTTCAGCCTTGGCCATCTTCACTTGCCGCCCGAACTCCCACCCGTTTCAGGAGCGTCATGTCTACCTGGACGAGCCTGTCAAGATCGGCCGCTCCGTGGCTCGCTGCCGGCCAGCCCAGAACAATGCCACGTTTGACTGCAAGGTGCTGTCCAGGAACCATGCTCTTGTCTGGTTTGATCACAAGACAGGCAAGGTAAGATGTTCGTTTAAAAACACTGAAACTGCCCATTTGTTTTAGGAAGTCCCTGTAGATTGCGGATCACTCTGGTTTTGCTGTTGTAAATATGGTTGCATAGGGCAGGAGTAAGATTTGTTTTGAAGTGGTAATTTTCCAGGTAAGTTGGTAATTTCTTACTAAGCAGAAACTTTGAATATTGTGAAAAGTATATGAAACTAACAGTTGAAAATGGTTAGTTGAAAGGTTTTGCTTATTTATTACTGGAAATAGGTGAATTTGAGGTGAGATGTGCAAATGTGAAAGTACATTGTGTTGATATAGTGGTGTAATAGTATTTTTTTCCAAATGCAGAGAAACCGCTGTTTTATCAATGTGTGAAAATTGATCATGAGAAGTGTTGAAAAATGGATTTTAAAAAGATACTCTTCTTATTTGACACTCTTCTTACTTGTCCTTTTGAAATTTGGTGGAGTATTTTGTTGGTTCCAATAGGAGGCTTATTACTGGCAACAGGAGTGTAATGGGTGGCATTTGTGAAATAGTCTTATTGTAAGTGAAAATGGTTTTAAAATACATCCTGTGTTCTTAAGTGTTCCTCTCTAAAGTCTGGCAGTCTTGTTAAGCAAAATTGAGGGGTCCTGTAGTGCATGTTTTGTCCACTAGGGATTGAACTGGGACAAGTAAAGTTGTTTTACTTAATGACTGTCAAGTTAATTTTATATATCCAGCGAAAAATTAACAAAGGGCAGACTGCAGTTGCTCAGCACTGTATTTTATTTCCAATTACATTGATGTTATGCTCTAGAACTTAACATGAACTAAGTCAGCTGGTTTTTTAGCTTCACACCAAGTCCTCCTGTGATATGCAGTCAGTGTAGCCCTGGATTTTAAGAATAATATGGTCTGTAATTCATGCAGATTTTTTCAGTAGTATGACACAGCATGAGAAGCAGTAAAAGGCAGTAAAAGTTCTTAAACATTCCATTGTTAACTATCCTATATTACGCAATACTTCGACGTGATGGGACAAGACAAGCATTTAATTTCTTAAGGCTAGATTAAGGCTTTCAAGTTACCTGCCGGTAATTGTGCAAACTGCTATCTGTATTAAACGTTTCATTAAGCATCTTGCTTTGGCTCTATTGTGTATGTGATCTGCATTCTTGGATTCTAGAAAACTTAAGTGTTTGAAATACTTTCAGTTTAGTCTTTAACCTTTCTTGTTTGATTCAACAAAGTAAAATGTTCCAAGTTATTGCTCTGTTTTTAAATTAAAACGTATTATGCATATAGCTTTTTATCGACGTTTCTTATGACTTATCAAGATTTTAAGACCCCCATGTGCTTTATGGTTACAAATATGGTCCGTCATTTTCAAGATGGTTAATTTGACAAAGCACTGAGTGTCGAGCAAGTCTGCTAACTAATAGACAAGCTTCAAAAAACGTCAGCTATGAGGATTTTTGTTTGTTTTTAAATTTCAGTTAGCGTTGGCTCCTCTAATATAGGTAAAAATTCGTATGCTTGCTCACTTACCTGTTTTAAAATAGCAACTTAGTAGTAGCAGTAATTAAAAGGATTATATTTGATTGTTCTGGAAATAACATCATGTGAAGATTTGACAGAGGTCTGATGAAACTTGCCAAGGTAGGCATTTGTAGCGATAGTAAACAACTAAAGAATGGGTTTGTGATCATGCCCTGGAATCCACTCCTACTTCATGTTAGATGTGGTGCTGTAAAGGTTTAAAGCACGGGTATAGCAGTGAGGAGAATTTCAGATTTGGTGCTTGTTTGCTGGCTGTATGGTCGGGCTTTTGATCTGGTTGAGTATTGGAATGGTGAACTGTGAGACAGTTGGAGGGGTGAGGGAAATGTACCATTAGAGATAATAGGTATCAAATGCTGTTGTGAAAAAGCAGGTAGAAGATACTGAGAAATACAGGCATGATCTTGAATTACAAGAACTACTTAAAAAAATTTTGTGGTGGTTTCAAAATATAAACAAAAACATGCCAGAACATTTACGTGCAGGAACATCTATTATCATTGTTTACATAACTGCTAATAAGCACATCTCATTTAGGAAATTGTCATTATCCTATCAATGACCTATATTTAAACCTGCAGAAATTCTCTCTGTCAGAGTATTAGTAAACATTTCTTAGAACCTTATATATAGGGCATTCATCAGTTCTGGATTTTTCAAAATATAAAAGACCTTCAAATGTTCATTTAGTAATGAGAAAAAACCTTCAGATATTTCAAAATAGTTTGTTAATGATCTGGGACTACAGTTTCATAACTTGTGGACTTTGGCAATAACAGTTTTGGGCACTACCAGTCACTCAGTCCAGGCTCTGTTGCCTCTTGAACTGCCTTTCAGTTATACTTCATTACTCTTTTTTTTTTTTTTAATGAGGGCTTGGAGTTTTATTTTGTTTAGTGAATCATGTGAGTGATCCTGTTTACTACATAGTCTATAAACAATTTTGTCAGTATTATCTGTAAACAGGGGTAGAACCTGAAGAGAGGGAGCATCAATAAGCTATGCCAACGAAAGTAGTACAGAATTTTTTTCCTAAGGCAGAGGAAGGTATGAGCTGAAATACGTTGCATAAGTAGAACTAAGCTGAAGATAACATGTTACTTACAGCTGGAAGATGTGAATGTTTCTTTTGTATAAAGGTGCTTTAATTATGCATGAAAAAAGTTATTTGCCCAGGGAGATAATGTCTATGTAACACTAGCATTATTAAGGTTGCAAATAGAATGAGTTTTCAAGATCACCAATACATAGGAATTAAAAGAAGGTACTTAAAGTTGGATTTGCTTTTTAAAATATTTTAAACATAAATGTAAGCCTAAGTGTGTGTATGATAAAGGTGGAAGGAGATGGTGGTGGGATTTTCTTGGAGTTTTTCTGTGCATAGTAATATTTTTATAGACAACCAGTGCAATGCCTCTTCCTGCCTGTGTTTGTAGATACAGCATAATAACTCCTAGTTAACTAGTGGATTTTTCATGCAATGATAACATTAGAATATTATAATTAGAATTCATCTTGTTGGTTTTTTTTTTTTTAGTAATTACAAGTTAATGAATCTGGGTTTTTTTACAGGTGCCTGAAAAAGTGACTCACTATATACGTAGGAAGTAGATGTTGTGCTGAGTATGGAGTGTTCCAAAAAGTGTGAATCAAAGTGAAAGAAAAAGTGGGCTATACTTCAGAAAATCTAAATGTGTTTGTTCAGCTCAAATAACTGCATATGGGAAGAAACTCTTAAAAATTGTGTAATTGAAATAATCTTAAACTTGGTTTTTTGGGTTTTGTTTTCATTTCTAAAAATAAGCAAGTGGAAGACCTTTGAGAATTTGTATGTGACTTCCAGGCTGAAATGCTTCTGACAGATGTTGTAGAAGCTCTTAGGAGAAACCTGAAG